CCTAATACACTGACGGTGAGTAGAGGGTTTTTGACAAACCCAAGGCCAGTGTGGCCGATGATTTGTGGTGTTATGGAGTCTCCTGTGTGGTCTGCGAGACTCAAGAGGTCAGTGGTATTAATTTCGCGATGCGACATGAGAGGGAAGCCTTTTTTCAACAACCCATCGACCAAGAGTGTGGTCCACCCTACACGATCTGCCCGTTGCGAAACGACGCAGCAGTGCTGGAAGACCGGGCAAGCAATAGGGCGATTCAGGGCTCTGCACGTGTAATCACTTAGCATGCAATGGGCGCTGCATGTTTTGCCGATGTGTTCCAAGTTTCAATTATTGAATTGAAGTATCCATTGAGATATGATGCCACGCGTGAAGGGTTCAAATGGCAGTTTTCAGCGAGAGTTGAAGTCAAAACGGGGGCAAAATATGAACCCGAAACCCTACAAGACCGCTGTTTGGCCAAAAATGTCGCATAAAACCGGCAAAAAAAAACTATACAGTACAGTAGCTAGATTATTTAGCCAAGCAAATTGATAAGTCTCCCGTCTATAATAACAAATATAGACGTCCTTTAACTGAGTGGCGTGTCGTGAGCCTTATTGAGAATGTGGTATCTCAAATCCTCATCATGAGGAACCACAATTCGTGGTGTATCCGTTGAATCGGTGCAATAATATAGCAAACCGTTATTCAACGAATATCGGTGCAATCGTGCGCGCAATCTTGATGACAATTTCTTGTCCGAGTTTCCAAACTCCTTACTCCCTAGAGCCCATAGCAACGCTGCACACATCCCATTCCCGTATACGCGGTGCGGATCAAATCCATCACAGACGACGTTATTGTTGTAACATGAGCAAGCTCATAGTCTGGTCTGCATGATAACGCATCAGCTAAAGCATTGTGCTTTTCCGGCTTATACTTCACCTCAAAGTTTATTTCGCAAAGAGGGATAGCCATCTAGCCATCCTTTGCGAGAGGTGGGGCGACTGAGGCGCAGTGCGTAGTGATGCATGATCTGTATAGATCACAAACGGTTTGGGTCGAGCAGGCGGACCAAGAACTTGACAAGTGCATACTTCATCGCAAGTAGCTCCTTGTCATGAAATGAGTAGTTCCTCTCTGCAGCTTTGAGCTGTCGAGGTTCGAACGCGATCACCCGATCTCGCCGCTCGGCGTCTTTTTGCAGCGGTGCACAGCCGATGACAACGTCCGAAGCGTCACAGACGACGCTGAAAGAACGATCAGAAGCTGACAGCGTCAGTATTGGTGCATGGAGGAGGCTGTCTTTGACCCCGTCAAAAGTCTCCTGATGTTCGGTGTTCCGACACCATTCCGCATCCTTTTAAGGAGATTGGATAATGGTCGGGCCATTTCTGCGTAGTTTACGCTGTACTTGTGCAAGTAGTTGACAAGACCAAGCCACTAACGCAAGTCCTTGTGGTTCTTTGGAACCGGCCAGTCTACAATGGCCTTGACCTTAGCGGGATCCGCTCGAA